TCAACACAGCTGGAAAGCATCCAGGTACAGTTTCCAAGCCCTTTTGAGCTCCCTGCCCTCATCATAACTCTTCTCCTCTACTCTCTTGCTTCTGCAGAACTTGTATCCACCTTGGAGAGGGGAGCAGGAGCTGCCAAGTCACTCTGTCAGAAGCTCACTGCTCTGCTGGTGTGCAATTTCTCCTTGTTCCTGCTCTCCCTGCCTCTTTGCAATCTGTCAGCACTAACCTCCTCCATCCCTCTGCATAAGATACACCCAGGGAGCTGGGGAAGGGCAGGTGGGAGATGCAGCAGCAAGCGTCAAAGAGACACAGTACACGTAGAAAATTGAGAGCAAATAGTAAAAAAGCAAATGAGTATTCAGGAGGATTCAGGTGTTTGCAGATAGTTACACTACATCCATCACTTCTGTCATCATCATCAGAGCCCTGTGGCACAGCCTGTCCTCACTGGTTTTAGTGGGCTTCGGATTAGATCTGTAATCAATACAAAGTATTAAAAGAGCTGATTAAGAAACAACTCCAGGAGCTTGGCTGGTCAAAAAGCCATTTTGGTGCTTGAATGATGCCCCCTGCTCAGCAGTCAGCTGCATCACTCTTGGGCCCTTTGCTTTCAGAGGATGTGTCTGTGGTGACAGTGACAAAGAGAAATACACCTAGGGGACACCATTTGATCCAGGGCTGCTCCCTGCCAGAAAGGGCTGACTCTGGACTGATGAAGATGCTTGTTCTTAGATTGAAATACTAAGCTGGCATCTACATTGCACTAGGCCAAAAGAGAGTAGGCTTGCTTTTTTGTGGGAGTGCTGGTGCTAAAGCCAGCAGTTTTCCTTTTTGCTAAGTCTGCAAAAGCAATGACTAATATGGTCAAAGTCAAAGGAATACTGCCAGTTTAGCAGAAGCCCTGTTTCTAAAGATTTTGAAGTCTCTCTTGTAAAATCTGGTAGGAGCAGAGTTTCTTATATTGCATAGTTAATACTGAAAACACTTTCCATAGTAAGTATGATTTTTGCTTTCCTTCCCTGCCTCTTTCAAGTGTAAAATGAATAAAAATAAAAGTGTAAACTCCATAAACACATTTCAAAGTCTATCAACAAACCCTTTCCTGTGCACATGTTGAGCCAGGGAAGTGGGATGACTGCAGGCTGAAAGGGAAACTGTGCAGCTCCTTCTGCCAGAAGATAGTGCTTCCCTATCTCCCCACTCTGGCCACTGCCATAGGAAGCATCCAGGATTTCAGATAACAGCTTTTGAGGCAGTACAGAAGTGGTGAGCAGTGCTCTCTTTTCAACAACAACAGTTTCAGTAACTTTGACCTGTGGTCCAAGGGCACCTGCTGGTGTTGACCGTTTTCAAGGATGGCTCAGGTAGATGGAGAGGACACACTGTGCAAACAGCAAATGTCGAGCTGTCATTTGCCAGCTACCCATGAGATGGAAAAAATGAAGAGCTGAATTTATTTGAAGGCAAAAACCATCTCACTCTTGCAGGGTGGCAAACAGCAGAATAGTCAGAATATAATCAGGGAAGCTGCTTAGTTTAATGAATGCAAATGTGATAAATTGCTTGTTTATAAATTACTTACTCCTTGTAAATATAATTAGTGAAGTATTTATTAGTTAAAATCGCCAAAATTGTATGTCTCTAAGCTTGTGAGCTGTGTATTAGCAATGCTAAGTGTTACCATCAGCCAGTTTCCACCATCATATTTTATTACCAGTAACATGATATTTATTTGCACTGCTTTGTGCACGAGCCAGGTGGGATCTGCAGTGATTACACTGTGAAAGTGTCAGCAACACTTCCTCTGGGTCTCTGGGGAATATTAATGGCATGTACCCTGCCTCCATGGATGCCATGGTCACAACTTGCAGTGATTTCACTGAGAGCAGGAGCAGGCCTCACATGTGCTGCTCTGCTCTCTCCTGGCATGATCCCACTCTCCAAGCTGAGGGCTTGGGAGCTCCCCACGGGCCAGAGCTCCACCTCATTAATTTATTCCCTGGATGCAGTAGGTCTTGAAGCCTTTCCTCTTCCATTTCTACTGCTGCTTGTTATTTTAGTGACATTTTTAAAGTCACCTTGCTCACACTGAAGTGTTGGGAGCTGGAAGGTAAGATGCAGGAACTTTGCAATTTGACACTGCAACATTTGGAAGTGAAGGTATCCACAGTGAATTAAGACACAGTCCTTACAGGTTTTATTTTTCCCATTAACCCTGGAAAGCACAGGAGACCTGGAAAATACATGTAAAGAAGTCACTTAAACCATTCACAGGAGCAGGCACTGCTGTAGCTAAGTGTTGTGGTCACCTCTGTGCCACACTCAGCTAGAGTAATCCTGTAATCCTGCCAAGCACCTATCCAGAAAGATTGGGAAAAGATGACATTAGAGGTGTATAATGAGCCAGAGGATCTCCTAGGCAACTTCCAAAGCCCTTGGTCACTTAGGGTACAAGGATTTCAAGCACTGAACACAGCTAAGTTGCATTGCACAGTAATTTACAATAATCAACCATCACTGTTTCCTGTGTTTAATGGCTCTCCACAAGCACAATTTTGACAGCTTTGGGTCTGTTTTTTGTGCCACAATTATTACCTTCACGTCTCTTCTTTCACCCCTAAATCATTTTCCTAAAATCTGCACTTAAGCATCATTATTCCCTCAGTGGCACAATTATATCACCCCTTAAAATCCATGTTATATTTGCACATGAAGAATTCACTGCTGGATTCCTCCATCCTTTTCACTTTTAAGCCAAAAAATGAACAAGTAATGAAAGGAATAAACTCCCACAAAGTCTCAGTATGGTCCTGCCACACAGCAGTCATTGAGACACCAAGTGAAAAGTAGCTTCTCCAACAAAAACCCTGGAGGAGGTTTAAAAGAAATGTAGGTGGATATTTGCCATTAAAAAAGGCTTATTGTACAGAGCTGGTATTAAACATGGGGTGATACCCCTGTGTCTGTCTTTGTACACCCAAACTTCAAGTCTGTGGGAATTTCCAAAGTGCAAAGAACATGGAGTATAAGCCAGAATTATTTGTAAACATGGGATAGCTGAGATTTATATAACAGGCTACTGCAGATTTATGAATCCAGGAAAGGAAATAATTACAAAGGAAATTAAAGTTAAAAATAGTCACGAACCACCAAAAAGAATGTGCTTGCACCTCTTTCTCTGGCAACAGAGTGTAACACCCACTTGCTGTGTGGCAGTTCATTCTTCTAGATAATTAGTAGTGCCAGGAATGGGGTCTCCAGTTTAAAAAAGAAACTTTACTTGGTAAATACTTCTCATTATATGTTCAAAATGGGTTTTAGATTGCCTAGACAAAAGGCTTATACTATATGCCTATACATCTAGTACAAAAAGTCTAATAATAGTGTGTTTCAGTATAATGCACTTCTTTTGAGAGCCAGAATAACTAAAAATAAGAGAAATTTTAAAGCCTAAAGCTAACCTACCATCTGACGCCATTTATTAGCAGCAGAAGAGCACAAAACGCAGTGTGTGAAATGTAAGATATGAACCCTGGAGGAATGGACACAGCTGCTTCTAGTTACCCTGCAGATAACTATTTATAGGGCTGGAGACACACAATAAAATCCAGCATAAATCAAGAATGCAACTGGCCAGAAACAAGATGGGGAGAAAGAGCTCTGCACCGCTGGATATTGCTGTTACCTGTGGTGCACATGGTGGCACTGGGGCCATGTCAGGGAGCTGGGAGGATGTCCAGGGTCCTTAGGGCCATGCAAACACTGCCCTGAAGCCAGGCACAGGTTATTAGTGGGTGAACTGAGTCAGTGAACTGATCATAGCAAAACACATTTTCTTAAGAGTAAGGAAGTTATAATCCACGCCAAAAAAATCCATACTGAAAAAAGGAAGCAGTAGCACAATTAAGCTTCACGTGTGCACATCCAGCAAGTGATGTGGGGTAGAAAGGTGGGATTTTAAAATAATAAATGAAGGATTTTGTGAAAAAACATGTGCAACGTTGCAGGTCCAACACAAGGGCACTGAAGTGTGTTTTACAGATTGCCAAGATACAGCAATGGGATCTCATGGAATCCCTTCCTCTTTGCTTGTTTTCACCTGTCATTTTCTGAAATTAAAAGTACCAGTTTTTCAAAGAAATAGGATGTTTTGTCCTGTCTGAAAACACTTTTGATAGATGAATTTCAGCAAGTTTTTGGTTTCTACAAGCTATACCTTGGGCTTGCTGAAATCACTGTTAATTTTGTGTGTTTGATGCCTGTTTCCTCACAGGATAATCTGAGTCCAATAGATCTGAATGAGAGGCACAAGAACAGTCCTGAGAATCTGGCTAAATAACACTCATATCTAAAGTGCAGATTTTATTGTCACTGCTGGTTTACAGTCACACTCATTAATTACACCAGGAGGAAAGAGTTTATGAGAGTGATAGTTTAAAGAAACTAATTAAAATAAACATGTTTTGTCGGTATTCTCATAGTCTACTCTGAGTGCTGATCAAAGTGAAAATTATATTGCTTAGTTTAGAGGAATATGACAGCATATCCTTTAGGTAAGGTAAGTTATATTTTCCTTTGCATTTTGTTTAGGGATTCAATTTAGAATTTTGATCTTTCTACATTTTTCTTATATTCACATAAGATCTGGGTGCATAGATCCAGAGAACAGTAAATTATTAATGGAGCAAGGATGATTTCCTCAATTAAGGAAGCTGTTTGAGAATCAGGTTTTGGGTGCACTGCAGAATGGGGAACTCCTTTGGAAGACAGGCAATGTTGAGTGAAACTCCTTGAATAAATATGCTTTGGAAGTTAAAAAGACACTGAGTACTGAAAGGTCAAGTATGGAACAAATTAATTCTGTAATTGATAACAAGCGACTTCCAGCTCTGGCAAATTATGTATTTAAAACAAATTATTAATATTTGTTTGTTTTCTGAACTGTCTGTGATTTTATCCTCAGATGAAAAGAACCAAGGAATTTAAGATTTTTGCCCTGAAGTTAAAGGATGTGGGTGTTTTGACCCAGCAGCTTCTGGTTTGTTGAAGTGAGTTTTCACAGTGTTCTGAGTATTTTGCATAAGGAATATTTATATTTCTTTATCTCTAAGCTCAGTGTTTGTTTGTTGTTAATGTAATCTAGAATGAACTCTTATAGTAAATGCTGATGTTATTTAGAGGAAGCATAAATCAACCATTGATGTCCTCACAGCTCCAGCAACTTCAAACCCCTCACTAAAGCAGAGCTGAAGACAGAATAAAGTTTCACAATACACAGAGTGGTAGTAATGTGCTTTTCTCTTTCCTATTTATTTGCAATTGTTGTCTCAGCTGGGAGCAAAAGGGCAATATTTGGAATTCTGAGTTGATTAGCATGCTGCTCTTGGTCCACCAAAGGTGTGAGATGCCCATGTCTGCACACTGCAGCCTCCTTGGATACCAAACACAGCACCAGGAAAACACTTCCCTGGTATTCTTAGAGAACTCCCTGCAAGAGAATTGCCTGACAAGGGCTTTTCAATCTGATAAGGCTATGGAAGGGCTCTTTAGAGCCTCCTGATTAAATGAATTGTCTCCTCAAGTAACTGATGCCACTGAATCAGCTTCCAGCCCCGATGGTGAATGCCTGATTCTGCCTACTGGGTTGTTGCAGTGTTTTTAGAGGGGTCATACCTGTGAGTGTCATTTAATGTCAGTTGGGCAGTGACTGCTCCATTCCCCTGGAAAATGCCAGGGCTGCCCTAACAAGGTAAATGGCTTAAGTCCCAGAAAAGACTATGAATATTCATAGTCATATTTTGGCTTTTGTTAAATAGTATCAAGTACCCAGCAGCTTTCTGTTTCTGTCTAAATAAATTCTGGCAGCTTCAACATCAGCTTCTCTTTGACCCTTGGATGGCGTCACCCAAAGATAAAGCAATGGGCTAAATGACTTGGGACCTTTTAGAACAGTGTTCAGAGAAACATCTTCGACTGAAAAGCAGAAGAGGCATAAATAATTTAAAGACAGTGCTTTTACTCAACTATTCCTCTTTGCTTACAAAGAAAGTCTTGGAATTTCAGGCATGAAAATAAAAATACTGAGGTGAATGGTCATGACACTCAATGTAAAACAAGTTAAAGCATAGAGGATGTAACTTTCCTTAACTTGAAAGTTGTATAATGAGACAACATTTACAAAATCTCTTTTCACTTGCCATGCTGATAACTAGAGATGCAACATCAAATGCTGGGAAGAATTAAGGATGAAATATTCTCTGTTTTCTAGACCATGAGAAAAATTTTGAGCAAGATTGAAAAGTTACACCCTAGAGACAACATTCAAGCCTGGGCCATTCTTGCTGTGTGCATATACATAACAGCATCAGAAGCTGCCAGCTTTGCCCCAAAAAGGAAATGAACCTCTGGTATGTTACAGAGCAGACAGGGGTGAAACAACCCTTTGATTTAGCCCCAGCCTGCAAAATGTGAATCTAGATATTCCAGTCATTTTGTTACTCTGCTTTAAAGCTATTGAATTGTGTTGCAGTGCATTTTATTTCATCTGTTAATCTCAAACTGCCCCGAGAATGGCTCAATGTGTCAGGAGAGGCTTTCCTGGTGCTTCAGATCTGAGTCATCAGCTGGGTTACAGAAGACAAAGGTAATTAATCAATTCATTTCTCCTATGACATGAGCTTTTAGGTTTGTGTGGCTAAGGTATCTTGAAGCTTTCTTTATTTGTTTACCCTTTTAAAAGTAATTTCTACAAATAAATTTCAAATGTCAAATATATTTTATTGTCTGGAATCAGAGTACAGAAGGAAAGGCTGAGAAAAGCGATTCGGCATCATTCCTCATTGGAAAGAAAATGAAGGAAAAAACTCCTTTAAGAAGAGAGAGAATGAAAAGAAAGCAGGGGAAAAATATCAGGAGCTAATTTATAGACACTCCCCCAAAAGGTCATGGGAGGCAATGGAAGGAATGAAACTGGTGATGGAAATCAGCATCAGAGGCAAACATCCCAAAAATGCAATCTTCAAAAAAGCAGCAGGCAATCAGGCAGGGGTGCTGTGAGAATCCACAAAGCTCACGTCAGCACTAACCTACAGCAGCCACCAGCAGTCCCTGTCACACCCAGGCAACAGCCCTGCTTCCAGGGAGCTGCACTCAGGGGTCAGAAACTTGCACATAACACCAAGAGGCCACCTAAAACCAGAAAATCCATAGTCCCGGGCTGGGATGCAGTGACTCACTGCATTGTCCATGTGCAAGGCATGGTGAGAGCCTGAGAACTCATTTCCTTGAACCAAGTAAAATGATGCTGAAAAAATAATGCTCAGGCATAAAAATAGAGGGATCAGAAAACAGAACAAATCTAAATCTTAAATTTGTATGAATTTTTGGCACTAATTGCTAAAATTACTCTTTGTTACCAGTTTTGGAAATAGTTCTTATTCTTGCTGCATTACCAAAGGAAGGAACAAAGAGAAAACTACTGGCTGAACTAAGGCAAAGTGAAGCTGTTAAATCACAAGTTACAAATACACACAGGGGCTCATATTTTAGTTCAACATTTTGGACTTAAGCTGACCTTTGCTTAAAAATACTGTGTGGAATAACTTCTGCACTTGATTTTATCTGTTGCACAAGTAGACTCAAAGCCTCTTCATTTCCAGCCCACCAATGGAATTGGAACAAGACCCAGAGTTTTGGCTATCATGGCTTTTCTATTTCAAACCTGGTAACTTGAAGTTGAGGTATTACACTAAGAATAGAAACAATTTCTCCCTCTGCCTTATTTTGGTTGTTCTGGGATACATTCTGCCCTGTATTGATAAGAGTTTAAAAATAAGTCTAGTCAAACATAAAAATATTTTTGTGAGAAGAAAGTGCACATTTCTTTTACAAAGAATGTGAATAATAGTGTCCTTTAGAAAACAAATAAGTTCAGAGGTGTAGAGGGGTAAATATTTTTCCTCGTGTTAATTCCCTATTTCAGTTTTCCAGCCAGGCCTGTATCCACATTAAAACTTGAACCTCCACCTTCTACAGCAGAATATAAGAATATAAAGGTAGTGTAGAGAGTAATCTTACCCCCTAAAGAGTTGCAGCTGGGTTAATTATTAAGGATTAGGAGCAGGGCTGACTTTAACAGGCCACAGCTGTAGCCAGTAAGAAGAGTGTTATAAAAGAGTGGGTTGGTTGGCTGAGGGTATTTGGAGTCCATTGGCTGCTGTGAGAAGAAGGAAGAGTCAGTGCTTAGAGGAGCTGCCTATGAGAAACATCAAGAAAGTACAAAACTCTAGCAATATGGAACCCTTGCATTTTAATGATGATAGAATTCTTGCAATATATGACAATATCTAATGGTAGCTTTGGGCTAAAATTTCTTTGTGTACTTATCTGCATGGACCTCATTAAAGCCATGAGGATAAAATCATTTGGAAGAACTTCCCAAGACTCCATCCCTTTAGCACAGCAGACCAGGCAAGAGTGCTGGAGTGCACCAGCAGGGAAGGAGGTGGAAGGGGGGCCTTGAATATGAAAACCAGGAATACTTAAACAATATTTTCCTTGCTATGCTTAGTGTGATGGGAATGTAGCAGACAACATAGTGAGGATAAACCTCATTAGGTAATGCTGGCTTTGATTCTGGCTCATGTGCTGGGTGGAGGATGCCTGGAGCTGCTCTGAGCTTAGCTCTGTCCAGCAGGGTGCTGGAGGCAGCTGGGGTCAGGGCTCACCTGTGCTTCGTGGCACTGCTCAAGGGATAATCCTGCCAGTGCCTTTCTGTGCCAGGTTAAGAGCTCCTGCCAGGGCCCCAGGGGCATCCATGCCCTTGTGTTTGCTGATCCAGCTGAAAGTTGGCTCTGCAGGTAAAACCATGGGGAATGCTGGAGTAGGCATGAGCCAGGAACACGTGGCTCACAGAGAGGAGCCACGAGCCCTCTGCTCAGCTGGGCTCAGTTTCACTTTGGCCCAAGCAAATCCAGGCAGCCCATGGACAGATCTCACTGTCAGGCCAGTGAGAGCAGCACCACGGCTTAGGGATTCTCTGTTTCTCACCAACAGGATTTATTTTACAGGTACCAGGGGGTACAACAGCCTTTTGATCCAGGTGCCATGGGTTGGGTATCCCTCAGGAGACACGGTGTAGTGTAGCTTCTGGAAACCTTGGGGGACCGTGGAGCTCAGCACCAGTGTTGACAGTGTGCAAGGACTCATGGAAGAAGGTACATGAACACACACACAGAGTCACTGTTTTGGTTTCCCCTAGCGTGCTACTGACGGCTGGAGGATGCACGCCTGGGTGATTTTAAAGAAATCTGTATGTTTTATCATGTCTGGGCGATTCTAAAGAAATGTGTGTACTTATCCTACTTGGCTACACCTGGCAGTCAAGTCACGGCCACATCTGCTCAAAAACCTCTGAAAATTCACTTTTTATCTGGTGTCGGGGGGCCAGCTTTCTTCACCTGCTTGGGAGGGCACAACCGACGGGCGGGAAAAGGAGCAGCCCGTTACCGGGCGGCTCGGCCAACAAACCCCTCCGGTACCTCGCAGTTAAGCGCTGCGCGGACAAGGGCGAGCGGCGGCTGCCGCGGGCGCGCAGGCGCTCGCTCCGCCAGCCGCTGCCGGGCGGGCACTACCCCTTCTCCCGACATAACGGGCAGCCAACCGCGTCGGGGACAGGGTCCATCGGCGACACTCCAATTTGGGGGCCGTATGCCCGCCAGCCCCACAAGGTACCGGCCCCGGCCACGCCCGCGGCCCCCGCGCACATCTGGCGGCTCCAGCTGTGCCCGCGCCTGCGCGCGCCGCGGAGGGGCGGGCGCGGCTCCCCGCACACACACACGGGGCGGGAACCGCCCCTCGCCATTGGCGGAGCGGAGCCTCGGTCCCGCCCCCGCGGGGGGCGGACAGCCTCGCCATTGGCCGCGCGGGCCGGCGGCGCCTCTCGGTTGGCTGCGGCGGCGCCGTGGGCGGGGCCGCGCTTTCACCGTGAGGTGCGGGAGGGCCCCGGCTGCCGCCGCCGCCGCCGGTTCCGGGTCCGCCGGGGAGAAGCCGCGGAGGGCGATGGCGTAAGTGCGGGGGGGAGCCGGGACCGGGCTGCGCTCCGCTCCCCACCGGGATAGGCCCGGCGCGCAGGGCTCGGCCCCGCCGCTCGCCCTGGGCCTGCCGGGAACACGCAGCCGCCCCCGCGCCGGGAGGAGCCGCGGTTCGGCGCGGGGCTCCGCCGGGCCGGGACGGGGAGGAGGCCCGGTGCCCGTCCTTCCGCCCCGCGGGGCCTGGTGGTGCCCCCCGGGGGCCGGTCCCGCCGTGCTTGCCGTGGTCCCGGCCGCTCCGCGGGGGAGCGGTGCCCGGAGAAGCCCGTCCGGTGTCGGGAATTCCGTGTTTTCCCTTTGGCGTGCGGTAACGCCGTGCAGAACGGCTGCGAGGCCGGAGGCGGGAGCTCACAGCCTCCCGTTGTGTCTGGCCTGCGAGGGAAGTTTCCCTGGGCGGTGAAAGGCGATGTCTGCCAGTGCCTCTGGTCCTGAGAGGGTTTAGCACACACACGGGGGGTTAACACGACGTGCACCTGCTTTTTGGTGTGGCTGAAGCTGTAGTGGTAATGATACGTAATGATATGTAATGATGTTATGATAAGGTGCTTGCACTTTGCGTTATCAATAAAAAACCCGATGTAGTAACCAATGTAACGTGTACATAACAGATATAATACACAATATAACACTGCTACGGTGGAGGTGTGTTTTGGAGGTAGCCACGTAGCAAATATCCCAATTACAATCTCTGTCTGGACTGGTTTCCCATCTTAAGGCCCATCTCCACAGCAGCCTTGGCTCAACTTTGTGAAAACTTCCCAAGTTGTCAGTTTCCTGCAATGTGTAACTTTCTCAGGTTTACTATAGAAAAGGCCACAGTTGTTGCCATGTGAGTTCTTCTGTTGTGTCACTTAATCCAGTAATTCTGCTTTTCTGGCTTGTTCTTTTTATTGCGGCCGTGCAGGGTTTCCCTCCCTTGCTTTTAATGTGCAGCGAGCAGCTAAACAGTGAGGCCAGAAATTTTGGCAACTGAGAAGAAAAACGGGAGGGGAGCAGGGAATATTCCTGTTGTTTGTTAAAGTATGTTAATAGGTTACTCCAACAGCCATTGATAAAAACAGTATTGATTGTCCACTTAGGCAGTTGGCTCTGAATGGACGATCAGGGATGTTTGTTTAGGGTCATGGCCTGAATTTGCACATTCTGATAGTGATCATGAGTAGGTTTTGCTCGTGGTGGATCGTTTGGGCTCATTGTGTGAAGGTATGGCTACATTTAAGTAGATTTTATCCTTGGTTGTGGAGTGCTGAAGTCACTCACCCTTTTGGGAATGCTGTTAGAGAACTTTGGCATGTGAAATGTGCATCAGCTGCTGTTTGGCGATTGCTCTTTTGCACCATTTTATCCTGTGGGAAATAGGCAAGAGGTTAGTTAATGCTTTTGGTTAGCAGCATGCAGAGTTCTCACACGTTGCTGTGACATGTAATAGCTTCTCCTATCACTGCTTATCTCCTCACATAACTTACTCTAGCACTTGTTGCTGCACCGAAATCTTT